GTGAGTTCCAGAGGCTGATTTGGTAACGTAGGTTAGTACCTAGGAGTGTCGATGTTACGTTTTACTTTAGACGGAATTTATGTGAAATTAAGATGCTGCGTAAAATAATTAGCGAGAATGTCATTATGTCACAGGTAGACCTCCATACACCAGTGTAGGTACAAAAATATATGTGTCATATGATACTTTGCCGTTTTAAACAACGGTCGCGAGTGTCGAATTAAATTGTATTCCGCTGTGGTACACATACGATAGGCGAGCGAGCCAAAGAGCACATTACGCTGGGCGCAAACATCTCGTGAATGTCTGTTGCAGTCGCCATTTTCACACCAGGATAAAGCGCAGATGAGCCGCTGTCAACAAAATGGTTTACCTAATTAGGTTATGGCACACTGCTGAGCACATATAATCTCTTGAGCGCTTCAGAGCTGCATGCCATGTCATGTATACTATTTGCCGTATTAAGTTGATGTAACTTAACCCGCGCGGGGCTGGGGTCTCCAGCCGAACGCGCGGGGCTGGGGGGGGGGGGTAAATTTTACCCCCCCTGTTATCTCCCGAACTAATGGTCCGATTTGGAAAATTCAAACGCCAATCGAAAGCTCTCATCACGAACTACTAAAAACATGTACTTAATTTAAAGTTTGAGGTCAAGGTCAAGGTCAGGTCAAGGGTACAAATTGCAAGTTTCTACATTATCGGCCTTGCACCGTAGTTGCCGAAGAATGGAGTCATGGACTGAGACTGATCGCCCAAAACGTGTTCTTAGGCTACCAAGACAATATTCGTTGCATACAATATCATTCAGAGGTCAAGGTCAAGGTCAGGTCAGGTCAGGTCAGGTCACCAAAAAACAAAATATAGAAAAGGGCATGTGCGACACATGTTTTATGGGTCATTTTACTCATAGAATTCAATAGGCACACTCAATAAGTGATATGGACCACCTCTGGATGAATTTCAGGTCGAGGTCAGGTCAAGGTCAGGTCAAGTGAGGTCAAATTTTGAAGTTGGTTGTTAAGGCCTAAAAAGGTGTCTATCTGATGCAGTTTTTCACGGCGAATCGAATGGTGCTATTTTTGTTTTCGTACGAGGTCTAGAACGTCTAAAAAAGTCATTTTTCAAAAAATTTGTGTGTCGTGACGTCATAAAATTTTGAATAACTCCCACATTTTTGAACCGATTCTTCTAAAATTTGGTATGTAGGTGCACATAGACCACTTCTCTGACATATGTTCCGGTTTTTTTCGATAGACTCAAAATTTTGGATTTTATAATGATTTTCCCAAAAAAATCAGTTTTTTGAAAAAATTTAGGCCAAAATCTAAAATTTTCAAAAAACCGAGATAGCCATTTGATAGACAAAGTAAAATTACGTATAACCTTTTTTGTTACGTCTTGATTCCTTTAAAAATGAAGATGTTAGCGGCGTTTGAACTTTTGCCGTTTTTGAGGCGAAAATGGCGAACATGACGTCACTAAAACGTCAATTTCTCAAAAATTTTCCGACGGATTTCGCTCAAATTTTCAGGGAACGTGTCAAATTGATGTAAGAAAAGGTACAGAAAGTTTGGCGGCGCTGCGCGCCGCCGTTTTTGAGATATCGCAAAAATTCGCGAGGGGGGGGGTAAAATTTACCCCCCCCAGCCCCGCGCGGGTTAACATGGAGCGTGAGCATTTGTCGAGGTCGAGTTGTTTACTTTGTTAGTTTTTTAGTAGGCAATTCAAAATATGTAAGGAGGATGATCCTGATGATTTTGCTTGGAGTTATGACCTCTTACACTAGCAACGCGCTTGAATTCTCAGGAGATTCTATCGTTTCTCTCCCGGATCTTGTCTGTTGCCAGTTACTGACAGATGACTGCCTCGAAAATGGCCCTCTACCAATAGAATATGTGACCGAAGTTAAACTTGTCACTTTTTAAAGACGGTCTGTGTACATTTTTTCTTGTGATACATTCATGTAAACGGCGTCAGTCGATGGTGGATCCAGGGTGACGGGGCATTTGGGGCAGTTGCCCCATCGCAACGCCTGAAATCGATGCAAATTTGTCGTTTTTTTCTAGAATGAAAAGAAAACTTTTACGAAAAAAGTTTACTGTAAATTGTCGAGCAGTGAGTAATGAATCGAAAACCGAGTTTTGTTATTTAAAGAAACTTTTTTGGGTATGCCCCCGAGCAGTGAAGTAATCTTGCCCCTCCCCCCCCCCCCACAGCCTCCGAGACCGCCTTTCTGCATATCAGCCTAGCTGTGGCGTCAGTTGTATAGCCAATGGCCATGCACGTTCTTGAGATCAAACTTATAATTGTTTTGCGTTTTACATTATTTAATTATTTTGGTTATATTTATTTAACAAGTTATGATTCCTTTTGTAGATGTCACATCTGCTTCCAATGTCATTCGTTTTTTATGCAGCACTATAAGCTTATTGAAGGCATTAACATTGATATAATTAGGCCGGCTATTTTTTGTTTTTTTTTTATGCGGGGTTGGAGTGACTCGGCACTTCAAAATAACCGCAGCTGGATATTTTTTTTTTGAGCTTGTGAATTTGGCCTCATATCGACTTCCGTCAATATTGTAGATATACGAGGATTTGTACGTAGCTCTTCGCCAATGGAAACGGAAACAAAACCCTTCTACAATCTAGACAGCTACGCCGTAATATTATCTTTTCAATCATCACGTCGGCATCGACATCCTAAATTCCTCTGCGGAAAACTATTCCTTTGTCTCCCCCGGTTCAGCGGGATCAGAGCTAATTTCTAGGAAACGGTACCGTGAGGGCACTCGAGTCGTCCCGTCGGCTCAGCCCGGCCTTTGTTGGGGTGCTCGCTTGTCGGCGTTGTTATGCGCATAAGCATTGGCGGAGGGAGATTCCTTCGCGTTGGTGTATGTGTGCTGCCATACGCGTCTGTGGCCAGCTGAGCTGGCACTCACTTGATCTGTGTTGGTCGCGAGAGGAATACACCTGTGTGCGCAAGACGGACGACTCTTCGGATCCCTGAACCGTGAGGACCACTACACAGATCATAACATGGCGCAGCCGGCAGTAAAACCGAAATAACATACTTCGTAGATTTTACATATTTTGGAATGTGGTCTATGTTTGAGTGTCCGCCGTCTGGAACGTTCGCTCGGTGCCTCAATCGCCTGAGGCACTGAAGGCGCCAACCGTTGAAATGTCAAGCGTATAACAAGTCGGTGTGCCAGCGGCCGTAATGTCAGTGGCTGCTTGGTGGAGTGGTATGATGCCTGCATGGTAGCGGGTAGGTCGCTGGTTCGAATCCCAGCGGGTCGCCTGGCCCTGTACGCGGGAGCAGCTTTTTCGCCCACCGACAATATCGCACTCTACCTCTCGCAAGTCACAACCATAAGAGCGAGTGTTCCCACGACTCCAGTGACTGTAATCAAGACTCGACTCTTGTCTGTTTCCAGTTTGTCATGCCTCCAAAGAAGTCCCCTCAGAAGAAGGAGAAACCATCGTCGGCATCTGGCGAGGAGTTTTTCCCAGAGTGGGTGGCCGCTCTCCTGGAGTCGCAGCGCCACCATGCGGAACGACAAGAACAGCGGTATGAGGAACAAGTTGAACGGCTGGAGCGTCAACATCAGGAGCAGATTCAGCGTCTATCTCAGATTATCTCCCAATCCGCCAACCCCAGCACAGCTGGAGCCGACAGTGCTTCACCTGACGATGCTGCGGCGTCAGCCGCCCGTGCTGGCACCGGTGGAGCGGAAGGTCCTGCCGTGAGAGCAGCCCATCCGCCAGAAATACTCAGCCGCGACATCTCACTGCGGACGTTCAAGAGCTGGCGTCAGGCCTGGAGAGATTACGCCACGCTCGCGAGACTCAACAAGCTGGCGCCACCTGAGCAGATCGCCTGTCTTCGCTCGTGCTTCACTGATGAAATGCGCGCCACACTGGAGCACGTCATCGGTGACGTCGACAGCAGCCCAGAGGATGTTCTCGACAAGGTCGAAAAATACCTCAGGAGTCAGCGAAACGTTGCCCTAGATCGGGTGCTCTTTGAAGAACGTCGCCAACAAGAAGGCGAATCATTTGACTGCTTCTTCATAGCACTGAAGGAACTGGCGGGAGAAGCCGAACTATGCAACCAGTGCATAGAGGACAGACTCACTACGCGCATCGTCTCTGGGATCCGTGATTCGGAGGCCAGTGTCCTGAAATTGATTTTTCGGAGAGTGTGATTGAAGCCGCGAGGACGTCGCTATTTCAAAAGGACGTCGATATCGGTGCGGAGCCTAAGCCACTGAAGATCCCTTACCTAAATCTCTTAAAATTAGCGATTTTCACTGGCAATATTGACTAATACCACCTCAAGGCACCTCAAATGATCATATATAGACACAAAGTAATGCCAGTTTACCCCTAGTAAAATACAAAATTCAAGCATTCACCACAAACACCAAAACAACACTTTGAAGATGTCTAGTTCTTGTCCATGATCGTACACAACAGTCAACAACAAATATGCTTCAACAAAATCAGCCCAAGAGCCAGCGGCTATCACTAAATATTGACGTCATAAGAGGGAAGGATATCATATCAAGCAAGAGGACTGATGTAAAAAAGCAGACGTCCAAACAAAGAGGTGGAAAACAGTTCGGAAAATTAATTTCCATAGCTTAAGGCTGAAACAGACTCTTTCCGCGTTCAGGAAATCGCATGCGAGAGCCTATTCCAATACATTGCAATTCTTCTCGCATCAATCGCTTGCGGAAGGTGCGTGCGACTGATGCGAGCGTGCTTCCATGTATTTGAATAAGCTCTCGCATGCGATTTCCTGACTGCGGAAAGAGTCTGTTTCAGCCTTTACTGTTATGAAACTCAATTAAGAAAACTCCAAGGTGGACGCTGAATTTTTCTTGGCTGGAAAAAATGTGAAATCATTGTGCACTTTTCAGTTTTGTACCGACGTCGATTAAATGGGAATAACAAGGCCAATCGACGTCCCCAACATTGCATGTATTTTTAAGC